GGCCGAGGGTGGGTTGCGGTTGGTTACCCTCCCCTCACACTTCGCGAAATGCTCCCATTTGACTAAGTAACTCAAGTAGCCTTTGCTTCTCGTGGTGGAAGTGTTTTCCCACCAAAATAAGATCGAAAAACCAACATTCGGGACAGTAACCGGATCGGTGAACCACTGGTAGTTCACCTAGGGGAGTCGGCTTAAAACCCTGATTCAAAACCAACCAAGAAGAGGCGTACGAACACACCCACACCTCCCCGGTTGTGGTAATGGTCACTGGCTCAAATGGATATCGAGATGCATTGGGCACCTTGGACGTTTGACCTCGTCCGATGGGCGTATGATCCGATGAACTGGATACCGGCCCGTAATGATGACAGTTTTCGTACACCACCCCGCTGACTTGCGGGTCAGGCTTTGGCTAACCGAAGGCTCCGGTTGTGGATTCCTCAAGAAAATTCACTTGCCTTGACCTGGGAAACCTGGCAGTATTCCGCCCGGAAACAAATCATGGAACTTTCTTTTCTTACAAAGATTATTGTACTGTGATTTGTTTGGCACATAGTCTGGATACAGACGCGTGTGAAATACACACTGAACGTTGTCGACCCAACTCAATAAACATATTTAACGCCTCGATTGGAGTGAGGTGCTCACTATCGGACACATGGCTACTCCTTATACATCACGATCTCCTCTCCTCCGGGAAGCATATTGAAAACAGCAGCAAAATGAGCAACAGTGAGGCATCTGAGGCAGAACCCAATTATTGCAGAAATCGAGATGAAGTTTAATCGCAAACCAAATTCGACTGAAGGTACGGTATACCCTGATACTTTGATAGCGTGTTTACACTGAACTATCATAGTAATCATAAGGAAAGAGAAAGGCTAATCCAGTCCTCGCAACGTGGGCGAAGGGGCGGGGGTATTTTAGACAGGTATGACGTTGTGCCATATTCAGAGTATGTGTGCGTAATCTTCGAATTAGAGGAATTCCCATTGCTAGTTTTCAGGAGCTCGTAATAAGAATAGGTCCGGCCCGGATCTCAACCGAAAATCACGATTAGGATTAGCTCCGGTGGTCAAGCGGTTAAGGTCACCAACCTATCGCCTCGGTTGGCATGGGTTCGAGTCCCACCATAGTCCAACTCTCTCACCTCCTATACTTGTCTCCAGGCCGTGCCTAAATGACTGTAGCCCGCCCACTTGCTGAAAGTTGTTCATCTATTTGAATATTGAACAAAAGGAAGTAAAAGAACCACTACGAGTGTCTGGTGCCTCTGAACAATCGAACGGGCTAATCCAAGCGTGATACTCTAAACTTATTATTATGGTGGTTTGTGAACATTCGGCTCCCTGTCTCACATACACATACATGCATAACGTTCCGAGAATTCGAAATGGAGAGACAACATAGCACGTGTCTGTGGAGCCGCATAAGAGACATCATCATTAATTAAACAATAGTTGGCACCTGTTCTCAATTAGGAAAACAAGCGTGCTAATGAGGTTAAGGGCATGCATGGATGAGGATTGTCGAACGAGAGGGATATTTTAACCAGACTCAGACACTGAACACATTCAGTTTTTGAATAGCGGATACCGCTGGCCATTTACCCATTTATCATATGCAGTTACCGGCAGGTAATCGATGAACAACATTAGACACAGAGAATAAACATCCCAACTTTTGTCGACAAGGTCCATTGTGGTACATGATCAGGAGAAAAAGAAGCGACCGTGACAGAAAAAAGCGAATACCAAATGGGCTCGCTTCTAGTATCTGGGATAGTGCCAACATTCATTATTCGCTTGTAAGACAGGAAAATTGTCACCTCTTTGAGAGTCATCAGTATATTTTTGGTGTAAATCTATTTAGGGAAGAAAACTAGACGGAGGTAGGGTGAGAGAAGAGCCGTTTGGTTGCCGAGATCTTTGACCCAAAATGCTGAGCTTCATATTTCTCCAGATTGGAAGGAGGACCAGTAGGTGTATGCGAATGGAATGGATAATGTGTCGTTGCTCTTAACCACCACAGTGTGTAAGCCGACGCCACACACACATACACAACAGGGCGCAGTGCACTAAACCAGTCTACGAATAAATCCAGCCTTGTCCACCCCACTCTCCTTTCTCTCGCTCCCTCTTGCAGTTGTACATGTAATGAGGGCCATTCGAATCCATCATCATCATCATCATCATCATCGTTGTCGTCGTTGTAGTTCCCATCGATCGGACGTGAACATGGGCTGCGTGCGATGTTTGGACCAAAGTGTGTGTGTGTGTGTGTTTGTGTGTGTGTGTGTGTGTAAACCCCTAGCAAATATATGCGCAACCGGTACTGCGCACGCGTGCGTGCACCACTGAACGCGTATGGGCACACACACATATCAGCCTGCAGTGGATGAACTAAGGAAAAAACACCGAATCATATCTGGCACCGACTTGGCCACAGCGTCCCTAACAGAGAAATGAATGCAATGGATCGATGCAAACAAGAGATGAACGAGATCTGGGGGTGGCCAAAGGCCAGTTAGAAAGTCACACGTAAGAGTGGAAAGGGTCGGGACCACGTAGAAGGGAGAGTGCGCGATATACATGCGGTAATATTTAGTATATATATAAAATTACTGGATACGCATGCCTGATGAGCGGTAAGATCTGCGAAACCGGTCGTGTGTCTCCAGGAAAATTTTGTCAAGTTATTCACATAGTACATATATGGTGCCTAATACGCGTGAGTCTTCACGGACAGCTGCTATGAGACCAAGGGTTCCTTATGAAATGGAAAATTCCAACTGAGCATTAATGTTATGTGGGGATTCAGTGATGGGAGGAATAGTAAGGAGGGGAGTGAGGATTAATGAAGTTTAGCGGGGTATGCGTAGAATGCATGCGGGTACTTATCCTCCACGACAAGTACAGCTGGTTACATAGAAAAGTCTGCCTACTCGCTCCCTCCCTTAAAGCTTCCTTGGTTAGATTGAGATTAAGAGCTGGATCGCGCTAGTCAATCGGTTAAATGGGATAAACACATGTCGAACCATGACTTGACTTTCAGAGATGTTCACCGGGAACACCACTATCAGACACAAAAACTCAAAGAGTGAACAACGCAACCTTTAGGTGACCTAACAGGCGCGCGAGCGCACGCGCACACAGCTCAAGGATTTACCGTTTACTCATGCTGATCAACCGAAACCAAACTTGCAACGGTGAGTAAGTAAATGAAAAAAAACTATCTATAGAATTCATGAGCGAGGGTGAAGGTAACTATCAAACGAGCCGATTGACAAGTTGTGGTAACAGTGGATCACAATCTATGCCATGTATGTATGTAAATAAATACACACATACATTATCCATATATGTATGTATGTATGTATGTATGTATGTATGTATGTATGTATGTATGGAGTCAAATCAGTAGTAGTTTTTATACACCCGGATGGGTGAATTTTCAACA